TCGTCGTCGTCATGATCGTCGTCGTCGTCGCCGTCGCCGTCGCCGTCGTCGTCGTGATCGTCGTCGTCGTCGTCGCCGTCGTCGTCGTCGTCGTCGTCGTTGTCGTCGTCGTCGTCGTCGTCGTTGTCGTCGTCGTCGTCTTTGTCCGCGTTGCAGCCACGTGCCGAGTGTAGATTTTGGTGTTTGCCTTCGTGGCGTTGCCACGCCGACTGCAATCGAGTAGTTATTTTTCGTTGTGCGGTTTGGCAACGTTGCGCGCAAAGTCATTTTAGATGTAGCTTTCCGGCCTGTCTTCGCCCCGTTGCGAATAGAGTGGCGGTGTAATTGTTCCCGCCCCGTGGCGTTGCCGCGTGGCGAGTATAATGTAATAGTTGTTTTCGCCTTCTAGGCGTTGCCACGTGGCGAGTAGAGTGGGCTTGTTCGCGCCTGCATCGCCACGTGATGAGCTGAGTGGATGTACACTTCTTGTTCGCGCCCTATGTCGTTGCCACGTGGCGAGTGGAGTGGGATAGTATGTTTGTTTACCTCTCAGGCCTTGCCACGTGGCGTTGCCATGTCTAGAGTAGTGTGTAGTAGCATGTGCTCCTTGCCCGCTTCGTTGCCACGTGCCCAGGCGCTGCCTCGTCATTGTCGATGTCATTGTCGTTGTCATCGTCGTCGTTGTCGTCGTCATCGTCGCCCGTCGTCGTCGTCGTCCATCATCCGTCGTCGTCGTCGTCGTCGTGATTGTTGTCGTCGTCGTCGCTCGTGTCGTCGTCGTCGTCGTCGTCCGCGTTGCAGCCACGAGTCGAGTAGATTTTGGTGTTCGCCTCCGCGGCGTTGCCACGTCGGTAGTTGTTGTTTGATGTTCGATGTGGCAGCGTTGCGCGCAAAGTTATATTGTATTTTGCTTTCTGGCCTATCTTTGCCCCGTTGCGAATGCAGTGGCGGTGTAATTGTTCCCGCCCCGTGGCGTTGCCACGTAGCGTTGCCGCGCGGCGAATATAATACAATAGTTGTTTCCGTTCTAGGCCTTGCCACGTGGCGAGTAGAGTGGGCTTGTATTTGTTCGGCCCGCGCGGCATGGCCACGTGATGCGTTGAATTTCGTGTTCGCTCCCCATATCGTTGTCACGTGGCGAGTGGAGTGGGATCGTATGTTCGTGGCGTTGCCATGTGGTGAGTGTCACATTTGTTGCCGCCCCGCTTCGTTGCCAAGGGTCGAGTACAGTGGAGTAGTTATGTTTCGCCCCTCCGCGCGTTGCCACGTGGTGAGTACAGTCCCCAGTCGCTTCCACCTGGCACCTCGCGTGGAATATTGGTTATGTCCGTCCCGCAGGCGTTGCCACGTCGCGAGGAGAGTGGAGTAGTACATTTGTTCGCCCCCCAGGCTTTCGCCACGTGGCGAGTACAGTGGAATAGTTTCAATCTCCGCCCCGCACGCGTTGCCGCCTGCCGAGTAGAGGGACGAGGGAGGAGGAAAGAGGAGGGAGGAACGAGGAGGCAGGGGGGGTGATTAGGAGGAGGCAGGAGGGAGCAGGGCGGAGGGAGGTGGAAGAGGAGGAGGAGGAGGAGGAGGAGGAGGAGGAGGACGAGGAGGAGGAGGAGGAGGAGGAGGAGGAGGAGGAGGAGGAGGAGAGGGGAGGAGAGAGGAGGGAGGAGACAGGAGGGAGGAGGGAGTTCAAGGGAGAGGAGGCAAGAGGCAGGATGAGGAGGGAGGAGGGAGATCGTCGTCGGACGAGGGCATGAGCGCTAGGCTGTGCTCCGATTGACACCGGATTGCCCTTTGGGGGGGCAAGGCATCATGCAAAGTATTTGTTGAGGTACCGGGTGGGGGGCGCAAGCATACTGCGCCCCTGGGGAGAGCGAATGTGGGCAGCCCACGACGAGAGAGCCTGCACCAATGTGCGCGCATCTCAGCTGCACTCTAAACAGGAGGACGAGACAGATCTAATCAGGAGGGCGACCCTCATGGAGAGGAGACGACTGGACACCGTACTTCTTGCACACCTTGCGATATAGCATGTTCTCCGAGCCCTCGTGCTTGGTCAGCCAAGAGTCGATCCTGAACAAAGAGTTGGGGTCGTACTGCGAGAGAATGTCCGAGATCCTTCGCTGGCAGATCCCGTGGCGCTCTCCAGATCGTGCCGAAACTGTCGGCGGCGGCTGCGGCATGTCGGGCGAGGAGGGAGCTGCTGCGGCAGGGCGCATGCCCACTTCCGCTCCACCAGACACACTGTCAGCAGCTTCCCGAGGGACTGCGTGCTTGCTCATCCCCTTGGGCACAGCCGTTCGACCGCGGGCGCGGGGACACCGAGAGCCGTGAGCAGCGCGTCCAGCTGCATCGTGGGGGCCTCGGGCGCGAAACCTGGTGGCTGCCAGATGCTTGGCGGAACCGCTGGGGCATTGACAGAGGCCACGTCGATCTCGGCGTCCGAGTGCAAGCAGTGCTTGGTCAAGTACGTGACGTTCTTCGTCCAGGGCGCACGGCCCACGCGCGCACAACATCCCAATCGGCGAAAAGCAGCGCGTGTGAGCCTCGGGGAGGTTTCCAGATCCGCCTCGTGAGCGCGGCCAGCCGTAGCATGCCAAGAGCGAAGGCGGCGGCCGACGCGCATGGCAGCTGTCCCGATGGACGGGGTCCTGCAGCAGGAGCCGGGACGGCGGCTGAAGGACCTCGGAACCGGGACGGCGGCGTGAGCCGAGGGAGAAGGGAAGAGGTTGGAGGGAGAAGAGGAGGGCTGGAGGCGTGGGCAAACGAGCGAGGAGGTGCAGGAGGAGGAGGAGGAGGAGGAGGAGGAGGAGGGAGGAGGGGGAGGGTGAGGTGGGAGGTTCGGAAGGATGACGCGGAGGACGAGGAGGAGCGAGGAGGAGAGTTGGAGGACGAACGAGGACGGGAAAGGAGGGGGGGCGGAAGGGAGATCGTTGAGGGGCGAGGCGGGGATGGTCTGAACTGGTGTGCTGGACTTGGCCCCTCTCGGATTTTCGGGTTTGGGTTCGGTCGGAGTTTCGGGTTTCGCCTGTGGGGGGATTTGCGGGTTTCGCTTCTTTTCTTCGATTTTCGGGTTTCGCCTTTGATTGTCGGGTTTCGCCTCGAACAGTTTTCGGTTTCGTCTTGCTACCCGTCTGCCTTGGGATGCACTCCAGCAGCTGCGCCTCGCCTGGAGTGCTCCACGGGTGCTCCAGGGGTGCAATACCCCTCCCCATCGGAACCAGAAATCCTCATCTTTCATTGATTTGTCGTCTTTGCTATTCTAGACGTTGCAACACATTATTTTGCGGCGTACCCCCAATTTTGTTGCCTGTCGCCTCCGCAGGTCGGGAGTTTGGGTCCTGGCTTTTTTTTTTTGCCACCAAAAACACCAGACAAACACCTCCCACCCCCAGCCAGGACCCCCTGGATCATTGTCTTCATTCCCGAGCCCAGGTCCCCGACGACACGATTTTTTCATGACGTGGACCCCCAGAAGTCTCGACCCATTGCCCGGAACCGGTTCTTCATCCCGAGTCGTTTTTCGACAGCCCCAGGGCCCAGCGAGGGCCCCCAGCGGCCGAGCATCGCCAAAAACCGCCCGTCGCCGAAAAGCCGGGGGAAGGCCCCGTGGTCCAGGACCCGCTTCCCACAGGGCCCGCTTCCATCCTGCGAAGCTAGCGGCCTCCTAGGCAGATGGGGTCCGAGTAGAAGGGGTCCCCGCCTTTGCGAGGTCAGCGTTAAGCCGAGGATTTCTGTGGTGGCCAGCCGTGTTGCCACAGTGTCCCGCGATGGGGGTCGTTCGGCCGTTCGCGCCAGGGCGCCGAGCTCCGCAACATAAAACGCTTGCGCGCGCAAAAACCGATAAATTGTGGGGCCCTTCGGAAGATCGCGCCACATCACCAAAGCATCGCCGATGCATCGTCGACATCAGCGCTGTTTCGGCGACGTCGGCGTGGAGAAAATCGGGGCCCGCATCGAGCCGCATCGGCGAGGCATCAGCGGTGCGGCGCGATCCGCCGACCCCGCCTGCTCCGACCCCATCGGGGGGGACCGGACAGGCCACCCTCAGAAGGCCCGGGGGGCGTCCGAGAAGCACCCCGCCGCTTTCCGAGGAGGCCTGCCCCCCCACCCGGCCGGGGCGCGCCGCCGAGAGAGTGGCGGGCGGCTCCCGGAGGCGGCCGTCCGCAGCTCGCCCCTGGAGCCCGCGGCGGGCAGCGCCGAGGACGCGGGGCCCCCGAAGAGGCTCGGGGGGTGGGCAGAGCCCCCCACCCTTGACAAGTCGATTCGGGAATCGTCCGCTCTCGGTTCGCGAGGACGCCGCGGCCGTCATTTTCCAGGCTTGCGCCCGCCAGGTCTGGGCCAGATGTCGTCTTCGCGAAGCCACGTTTTACTGAAGGGGGTTCTGTCCATCCCAGGGGTCGACCTAAAAGCGGTGCGGATGCGAGATCGTGGGCCGTGCTTGCGTTTCGGTGCTGTTCTGCAGCGGAGGCGGGCGGAAGAGAACGCGAGGGAAAACGAGCATCAAACGAGAACGAGCAACGCTGAGCACGAAAGCAACGCGAAGATGAAAAGCACCGTCGAGGTCGATGCCCCGCTCGGGCCCCCGCGCGCCGCGCCTCGGTTCCGTCCATCCCCGAGAGACACCCCACCTTCTCTTTCTCACAGCTTGCGTCTTCGCCCAGCTTCGGGCCCCGGGACCTCCGCAGATCGACCCAGCTCAAAGAAGTGGCGCAGCACGGGGGGGGTCCAGGGCTATGTTTCTTGTCTGTTTGTTTGTTGTTTGTTCGTTTGTTTGCTGGTTTGTTTGTTTGTTTTTGTTATTTCTCTTTTTATTGTTTTTTTTATTGTGGTTGTGGTTGTGGTTGTGGTTGTTGTTGCTGCTGCTGTTGTTGCTGTTGCTGTTGCTGTTGCTGTTGTTGTTGCTGCTGTTGTTGTTGTTGCTGTTGTTGTTGTTGTTGAACATTATTAATTCTAAAGAATAATTATTGTTGGGACCCCTGGTGCACGGCCCCCCTGCGCCGCCTAGGCCGCAGCTACATTTTCATCATTTTCGTGAGGAAGCCTCAGGTAATTCGATGTGATCAAGATCCGGTTGTTTTGTTCCCCCCCGCTTTCCCTTGCAAACAACACTATAAATGACATTTCTTGTTCTAATATAATCAAATTTCAAGAATCCCTTGCAAAAAAATAAGGTAAAGTGGACATTCGCGCGCGCAAGACGAAATCCTTCCAAAAGCTTAGTGTTCGGAGCGATTTTAACATAAAAACATCAAAAAACCAATGGTTTTTCAACAAAAAATGTCAAAATCTCATCCCGCGCGCTCTTGCGGATTCGTAGGAAACCAACACTTTTTAAACATTTCTGTCAAACGGGCTTTTGCGAGCAATTTTTTCGAACTTCTGCGACAACGGTTGCGCACCTGCCAGGGCCATCATCCCTGTCAAATAATACCATGCGGGACACATTCGTTTTTTCTTCGCGCGCGCACGCCGAAATCTCCAAAACCATTGGGCTTCTTAAGAATTTTAGCACCGCGCATCATAAAATCACACGAATCGCACCGTAGGTCCTCGAAAAACACCTGCACGACTTTTCAAAATTTCCACCCGCGCGCGCTGTCCGAATCCTAAAACAACCAATGGTTTTCCAACATTTATGTTACATGAGCTCGCGCGAGCTACTTTCGCACGCTCTTGCAACGGGTGTGGGTTCACAAGTTGTTAATTAAGCCTTGTGGGTTCACAAGGCTTAACAACTTCTGTGGGTGTACGAACGTAGGCTTAACAACTTCTGTGGGTGTGTACTCCACGCCAGTGTAGTAGCCACGGTCGTCCGCAGGCCACGAAGTGAAGTGTCCGAACGTCATAGGGCGGGAAGCTGGGTGTGGTGGTGGCGAAGAGTCGTGTGGATATTTGGTAGAGCTTGCACTGCCCCCCCACAAAGTGGGGGTATTGGCTGGCGTCGCATGAAAACCCTGGCACTGGTGAGAACACTGAGCGTTCGGGTAAAGTGATTGTTGAACATTATTAATTCTAAAGAATAATTATTGTTGGGACCCCTGGTGCACGGCCCCCCTGCGCCGCCTAGGCCGCAGCTACATTTTCATCATTTTCGTGAGGAAGCCTCAGGAAATTCGATGTGATCAAGATCCGGTTGTTTTGTTCCCCCCCGCTTTCCCTTGCAAAAAACACTATAAAATGACATTTCTTGTTCTAATATAATCAAATTTCAAGAATCCTTTGCAAAAAATAAGGTAAAGTGGACATTCGCGCGCGCAAGACGAAATCCTTCCAAAAGCTTAGTGTTCGGAGCGATTTCAACATAAAAACATCAAAAACTAATGGTTTTTCAACAAAAAAATGTCAAAATCTCATCCCGCGCGCTCTTGCGGATTCGTCGGAAACCCAACACTTTTTAAACATTTCTGTCAAACGGGCTTTGGCGAGCAACTTTTTCGAACTTCTGCGACAACGGTTGCGCACCTGCCAGGGCCATCATCCCTGTCAAATAATACCATGCGGGACACATTCGTTTTTTTTTCTTCGCGCGCGCACGCCGAAATCTCCAAAAACCATTGGGCTTCTTAAGAATTTTAGCACCGCGCATCATAAAATCACACGAATCGCACCGTAGGTCCTCGAAAAACAGCTGCACGACTTTTCAAAATTTCTACCCGCGCGCGCTGTCCTAACAACTTCTGTGGGTGTGTACTCCACGCCAGTGTAGTAGCCACGGTCGTCCGCAGGCCACGAAGTGAAGTGTCCGAACGTCATAGGGCGGGAAGCTGGGTGTGGGTGGTGGCGAAGAGTCGTGGGGGTAGTTGGTAGAGCTTGCACTGCCCCCCCACAAAGTGGGGGTATTGGCTGGCGTCGCATGAAACCCTGGCACTGGTGAGAACACTGAGCGTTCGGGTAAAGTGATTGTTGTTGTTGTTGTTGTTGTTGTTGTTGTTGTGGTTGTTGTGGTTGTTGCTGTTACTGTTGCTGTTGCTGTTGTTGTTGCTGTTGTTGTTGTTGTTGTTGTTCCCCACATGCTTCGTGGGGTTCTGGTTTTCTTCCCACCCGCGCCGCACCCGCGTCTCACCCACACACGCCCTCCTCCCCTCCTCCTCCTCCTACCCCTCCTCCTCACGCACACAGCACAGCGCAGCGCAGCGCAGCGCAGCACAGCACAGCACAGCACAGCACAGCGCAGCACAGCACAGCACATCACAGCGCAGCGCACACAGCACAGCACAGCACAGCACAGCACAGCACAGCACAGCACACACACACACACGGCTTGGCACGTGCGGCACATTCTCGACGCCATAGGGGTCGTCCACGGCACAGCAGGCGTGGCAGTTTTGCACAGCACACCTGCACGTGCGGCACATTCTCGACGCCATAGGGGTCGTCCACGGCACAGCAGGCGTGGCAGTTTTGCACAGCACACCTGCACAGCACAGCACAGCATAGCACAGTACAGCACATCGCAGCACAACACGGCACGGCACAGCACAGCACATCGCAGCACAGCTCAGCACAGCATAGCACACAGGGCAGGCGCGCAGGGCACGGCACGGCAGAGCGTGGCAGGGGTGGCATTGTCTCGACACCACAGGGGGTGCGCAGGGGGTGATCCCTGAGCTCGGCCGCTATGCACGACGGTTGTCCAGGCACAGCAGGCGTGGCACTTTCTCGACACCACAGGGGGTGCGCAGGGGGTGGTCCCTGAGCTCGGCTGCTATGCACGACGGTCGTCCAGGCCCAGCGGGCGTGGAACTTTCTCGACACCATAGGGGGTGCGCAGGGGGTGGCCCCTGAGCTCGACCGCTATGCACGACGGTCGCCCAGGCACAGCAGGCGTCGCAGGGGGTGGTCCCTGAGCTCGGCCGCTATGCGGACGGTCGTCCAGGCAGCAAGGCGTGGCCATTTCTCGACACCAATAAGGGGGTGCGCAGGGGGGGTCCTCTGAGCTCGCCGGCTCTGGGCACGCGCCGGTCGTCCTGCATAGCAGGCGTGGCACTTTCTCGACACCATAAGGGGTTGCGCAAGGGGGGTGGTCCCTGAGCTCTGCCGCTATGGAAAGACTGTCTTCAAACACAAAGCAAGAGGCGTGCAAACTTTCTTCACACCACAGGGGGTGCGCAGGGGGTGGTCCCTGAGCTCGGCTGCTATGCACGACGGTCGTCCAGGCACAGCAGGCGTGGCACTTTCTCGACACCACATGGGGTACGCAGAGGGGTGGTCCCTGAGCTCGGCCGCTATGCACGACGGTCGTCCAGGCACAGCAGGCTTGGCACTTTCTCGACACCACAGGGGGTGCGCAGGGGGTGGTCCCTGAGCTCGGCCGCTATGCACGACGGTCGTCCAGGCATAGCAGGCGTGGCACTTTCTCGACACCACAGGGGGTGCGCAGCGGGTGGTCCCTGAGCGCGGCCGCTATGCACGACGGTCGTCCAGGCACAGCAGGCGTGGAACTTTCTCGACACCACAGGGGGTGCGCAGGGGGTGGTCCCTGAGCTCGACCGCTATGCACGACGGTCGTCCAGGCACAGCAGGCGTGGCACTTTCTCGACACCATAAGGGGGTGTGCAGGCGGTGGTCCCTGAGCTCGGCCGCTATGCGCGACGGTCGTCCAGGCACAGCAGGCGTTGCATTTTCTCGACACCATAAGGGGGTGTGCAGGGGTGGTCCCTGAGCTCGCCGCTATGCACGACGGTCGTCCACGCACAGCAGGCGTGGCACTTTCTCGACACCATAGGGGGTGCGCAGGGGGTGGTCCTTGAGCTCGCCGCTATGGACGACGGTCGTCCAAACACAGCAGGCGTGGCACTTTCTCGACACCACAGGGGGTGCGCAGGGGGTGGTCCCTGAGCTCGGTCGATATGCGCGACGGTCGTCCAGGCACAGCAGGCGTGGCACTTTCCCGACACCAGAGGGGGTGCGCAGGGGGTGGTCCCTGAGCTCGGCCGCTATGCACGACGGTCGTCCAGGCCCAGCAGGCGTGGAACTTTCTCGACACCATAGGGGGTGCGCAAGGGGTGGTCCTTGAGCGCGGCCGCTATGCACGACGGTCGCCCAGGCACAGCAGGCGTGGCACTTTCTCGACACCATAGGGGGCGCGCAGCTGTAGCATCATAATCGTTATCATCATCAAGAATTGTAGCCACCCTGGCTCATGCGGGCTCACACTGCTGGATATGTGAATGCGGACGGCCGCCGGCGACTCTCCGTCAA